ATCCCTGCAACTAGGGCCAGTACTAACAACAACAAGAGGCGCCCAATGTGCTGTCTGACGAGTACACGAGATATCTAGAGTATTGGTATGAGGAAAGTATGTGGACCTTATGCTTAGTGTTGAATATCAAACAATTAAATTTATAATCTGCACAGAGACGACACCTTCTAGCGTCAGGCTGGAACAAACCGCAGAGCATTGAGTTAGTGCCAGACGACACCACGACGCCAGTCTTTGTGGAACGAATAAAACTATATCTTGCCGAGATTGTTATATTCGCGCGTTTGCACTAGAATTTCGGAGGCTAAAATCAGATCCGTTGCACAGCGAGTAATGTATCTACTAGTAACGATGATACTAGTACTTCGAATACCCAGTAATCTTTATACGTATATTTATGATAGTTCGGCGTATACTATGACCGTATATCATTAAATAGGCAGCTATAATATACATATTAATAGCTAAACTATTAGGTATAGAGTAAACGCTGTTGCGTTATCAGCTAGAACCATTGAAAATAATTAATAACAATCATCTATTGACATGCATGCCGTATGGGTCTTTGTTCTAGATTTAATAAGTGAGCGAAAGAGCAGCAACTGTTCACGCGTTTAGTTAAAATTTTCCCACTCAGTAGAGGCTGCCGGAATAGTGCTAGGCACCCTCGAGCGCCGCTTAAAGAGCGAGTAAATCGCACGTGTGACAGGTTATTCCAACCGAGAGCGAGAAGGTTGGGTGTATGTATGTGGGTCTATCCCAGTAATCCGACAGGCAGTACTGCTGGTCTGGCGAGGTTGAGTCTGTCATATCCCGTAACGGGTCGTCCAAAAGAATAACCCGAGCATCAACGTGCACGTGTCTGACGTAGGGGCGGAAACCGTGCTGCTGTGGGCTCTCCAAGTGCAAAACAGAGGAGGAAAGGAAGAAGTACAAGTGAACAATAAGTACTATCATAAAACTCATATATCCAACTAAAGATTTCGAAGATCCACACAGTACGTTGGCGCCACCCACCAGGCGGGCACGAACTCATCTTCTAACGTTTCGTCACACAGCCACGTTACAGATATGCCTCGGGAAGATCTCGTGTGCGCTAAATGGAGATCACGAAACATATGCGTTTGACACAGTGCCAAGCAGTGCGTATAAGGCACGTTAGAGCGACGAAGGAAAAACTACGACACACTCGTGACACATGGCGTCTACTAAATCAATAATGATTCGCTACACTTTTTTGAAAGTAACTCTAACCAAAACGAACGAACATACTAATAGTATGTATCATATTATGCATATATATTATATATATCGTATTATATATATATATATATATATATATATATATTATATATATAATATCATAATACATTAACCCGTGCCGAGCGCGGCTGCCCTTTGATCCTATCACTGTACCTACGCGTCGATCTACACAGAGTTCAGATAAAGCGATATTATTAAATATCATTTCTAATAATTAGGAGTATCTCAGATGTACAAGAATTATACATTAAATCAATGCTAAACAGTTTAGAGTGATAGATTAAATATGTTACATGCTTGTATGAATACTGGATTTAACATGCAATATATATTTTATATTCACAGGAAAAGCAACGGCTGTGACTATCATGTAACTGTTGCACAGCGTGAAACCTCAAGTAATTTATTTATGCCATTTTTAATGATTGCGAATCCAGGGATGAGGTGGGAGGAGGTGTAGCTAGAATCAGAAATCATAGTATGACTGAGAGAGCTTATAAGCGCATAAATCTAGGGTAGCCGCCGATTGAAGCTCATCACGAGCCATATGTGTCCTTTCCTGATCTCAGAGCCAACTAACCAATCCTAAACCACACCAATATGGTCATGCACAACAGTGTTCTAGGCTTTACGTAAGCGGCTAGTGCTGTCATAGGACGAACGAAATTGAAGTCAGCAACCCACGCCAATGATGGGTTTGGGCGCGTCAGAACCGAATCAGTACAGTTTTTGGTGTACAGTAAGCTTTTTCTTATATAATATATATATATATAATATATAAATAATGTTGATAACTAAAGCCAGTCTGTACCGGTGCCAATGAACCCGCAACCTCAGCGCCACCTAATGGTGTAGTGACTGTTAGTTGTTAACCCCCAGCGAGTTCGCCATTGTAAGAGCATACGAAGTGAACTAACGACTACAGCGTAAAAGAAGGGGGAACGACCTGTGCGTCACGCGTGGTAGTGAGTCTGTTTTGTGGTGTCCTTTAATATAGGTCCCATATGTGGTTATTCGATCTTTGGAGTAGTATCCGTGTGTATAAGAGAAAGGTGTAAGACCGGAATAATAATTGTATCCCACTTAGGGGAAGAACTATTCAGGGCTATTGATTTGAGTAGCTGCATGAATCACAACAAAGCCCCAAGACACGCACATGTCTCTATACTTTAGCTTCCGTGTTACGCATAATAAACAAAATCACACCCGGTTGTCCACACAGCAGTTTATTTCAGCCCAACTACACCATTAACAACACACACCACACACACTTGCTCAGTTTTCCTCTCTTCCTTGCCACATACAACATCTGTTGCCTAAACCTCCATTTACACAGCAAAACCTTGAGCGAAACACCAGCACACACCACATACACGCACACACGCACACACGCGACACACGCACACACGCAACACACGCACACACACACATACACACGATACGCATGTACGCCTACGCAGACGCACGCGACAGTAGTGAACAGCAGATATGTGTATGTTGGGGTGTGCCGCGTCCGGTTGTTTCAAAGTGGATAAGCTTGTTGCATCTCAGAATCAGTTTCTTGATCTTGCCAACTTTCTCCTGATCAGATCATGATCCATGTTGTGAAACAATCGACGCCTAATAGACAACCGGCCCTATAGATGGGCAGACCATAGTGACCAAAAATATACACCGCGTGGGTCAGATCGAACAAAAACAGGAGGCTGCATTTTGAAAACATGCTGACCCAAGATCCTACTGGATGAAGCGTCGACGTAGCTGCCTTAGCAGGAAACCGCGTGTTTATTATTGAAAGGTAGGGAATAAACCATATTAGCGAACGCCAAAACATATATACAAGATGATTGCAGGACAGCAAAGATATAAGTGCCTTCAATATTGTTCAGTGGAGAGTTCGCTGGTCGATCGACGCATGATATGGGATTTTAGAACCCGCGTATTGTACGATCAGCGTGGTAGTTTTGGTATGACCAGCAGTTACATGTTCACTTGCACTCTCTGTGACGAATGCCAAATACCGCGATATTATAACGATATCTCTCAGCATTCATTAGCAGAACTATAATTATTTCCTGTCGCGGTCTGTTATTTAGATTCAGCAACCACTGTGTTCCTGAAAACATGCGCGTGCGCGCGAAGTTCGGCACTGACTGGTACTGGCAGGCTGCATGTTTACATTGTGAGTTGCCAAGAGAAACCCAGCAGAAAAAAATTTCCGGTACAGTTGTCGGTGCATCATCAGACAGGAAATTGATGTGTGTATATATATCTATATAGGATATACAACCGTTGCCCTTCAGTTGACTGCCGCCTGTGCGGCCAATTCAACACTGTCCTTTCGATGGTACGTTGCTGAATACTATATAATATATATATATTATAATCAATATTATATATATACATATATATATAAACATAATTATATATATATTAATCCGGGCAGCTAGGGTAGACGAAAAGTTGTTTAGGGAGGCGAATAGTTTAATAACTTATATAATATGATTATCATCTTTTCAGCATTATAACTCTTTTATTTATTTACTGTATTCCATCAATAAAGAATTGTTGTTAATACAGTAATTAATAGCAAACCGTGAAACACCAGATTTGAAATCGAAGGCGGACAAACAAAAAACGGTTGCTATGGCGAGCATACATTTACGTCGAAGGCTACACTATCAAAATAGTACTTCTATAACAGCTGACGCAACCCATAAAAGTGCGTGTAACACTTTCTATCTGCACAGAGGGACTTTAATATGCGTTACTTGTGCATTTGCATACGCGCTTTTACGTGCAATTATACGTTCAGTAGGTTACGTACGTTATATGAAACGGCGTTTCATGCACGTACCACGCTCTGTACTATTAATTATAAAACATTCACTCGCTGAAACATTTTTGTGTGAAATACGCGCTAATAACGGTTTAAATTCGGGTTAACACATTCGCACTTTTTTCCGGCTAAAGATTGGTAAAGGACCCGCACCAGCTTCGGGTGGTCATTCTCACGGACATGATCACGGTGGACATGGGCATAGCCACGGAGGACATGATAGTGGGGGTGGTGACCATCATCACCACGCCCCCGCTGCTCCGAAGCGTGCTGCAAAGAAGCCCCCGCTATCAAAGAAAGGTGCGTATGTTTCAGCATATGAATCAGTATATGTTTAGGCAAATAGTTGAGGTATATATATGTTTCAGCATGTTTCTGTATAATGTTCAGGTATATAGTTTAGGTATATGTTTCAGCATATGTTTAGTTGAAAGTGGCGAAGTCAATGTTAATGTTATTACATATATTTGCATATTATTACGACCAATATTAATACTATATAAGCACCGTTGAACGAACTATATATACCGCCTGTTGAATTACATTTTCATCTATCCCAATTCTGCCGAAGATATAAGCATGTATTTCTGTTTTCTACGATTACAAGAATGGCTTAGCAATATATTACACTTTAATTTAATAATTAAGGCAAATCTTACAATAGTTAATCACATAATCTGTTCCGTGGGTTTCCGTGTGCTCTGTGCAGATTTAATATGTTAAATATGTTGGACCCGTTAAATATGTTAAAGGTTACATAGAAACATATATCTACTGTATTTGAAAAAGTGAACGTAACCGAAACGTAAATTGCCGCAGCGCGAGCGACGCAGCGTTCAAAACTACACGTCTCGCCCGTACTAGAACTAACGCCTTGAACGTCTAACACGAACAAGAAGTGTATGTGAAAAAGGGTTACACGCCCTGCAGACTGGTTGCGCGAGTATTGCGTTACGACTGTATATCTTAATTCAAGAATTCATTCGTTTACACAGTTTGCGCGCGCGAACTTGCTGTCCTCATCCCGAGTATTCCTAACATATTTGAAACTTTTTTACGCGCATTAGTAGAAAAAAAAACGTAGTCTTACTAATCCGATTTATCTTAATATATACTCTCTTGGCGTAAAAACATGATTAGCAGCCCTGTGCGTTGCTCATAGAGTTTGTACGCGGTCGCCGGTACAAGAACTGCGCACACATCCTAGAATAGTAAACTGTACGCGAAGGCAGTCAGGGCACGCCAACAAAATAGAAGAAGCATGGAAGCAAGGAAAGAACAGCTGCATGCAGGACCCCGCTTGTGGGGCTGGAACGTGCATGCCAGCTTGTGCTGCGCTAGGGCGCCGGCACGAAAACCTGCATATAGTATACGATACTTTTTCTGCAGTACGAACATAGACACTATCACCCCCAACTTTTACCGCGTATATACCGAGTAATTATGGAGCTGGAACGTGCATGCCAACTTGTGCTGCACTATATAATTATATATATATGTGATATATATATATCAGAAGTATATATATATATTTAGGCTAGGGCGCCTGCATGAAAACTTGTATAAACCGTGTAAAACTAGTATGCGATACTTTTTCAGCATTTCGCATTAACAGAGAGACCCCCAACCTTTACCGCGTATATACCGATTAAGCAGCAGCACCACAGGAGCTAGATGTGGTATGTTACCTCTAGGTCCTACCGGCCCCAAAAGGGGAGAGCCCGGCAGCAAGGAGAAGCCGCACCGCGTCTCTACCTGCGGGAACAAATGTCAAGGCAGGGAGAAGTCGAGCGTCATAGGAGACGAGGACTACGAGGATATCCAGGAGAAGATGGTCGCAGCCGGACGGCTGTTTAAAGATCACGATTTCGACGCAGTCGACTCGACACTGTTCTACAGCCAGAGTCCGCCTCGCCACATCGAGTGGAAACGCCCTCATGTGAGTATAATTATATAGTCCTGCCATTTTACCCATAGAAATACAAGAGACACTAGTATTATTACACTTAGTCTAACTAGTATTGTTTCTATGATTTTACCCATGAAAACCACTAAAGGGGGTTTCCCCCTCGGCAATTACTACTTGGCTGTATATGCCTAATGTAGGCGGGCGCGCCCTGATTAGGGAGGAGGAATTGGGTCGATCGAATTATGGGCGAGAGTCCAACAGTTTTTTGAAGTCCTGCATGCAAAGACACGGCATTTAATAGACATGATTCGGTATTTCATTATTATACTAATATCGGAATATTTTTACCCGTCTGCATGCTCAGTTGGGGATTGTGGTTGAAAGAGTTGTAACTTCTGATGAGTTGAACCACGTATGAAGTAAACCCCGTAGGCTGCAGGTCAATATAAGAAATCAATGCATAGATGCATCGATGCTTATAGTAGCACCATCTGACACTGGAGGCTAACGTTGTTTAAATGCTACTGGAAAACAAGAGCTCACATGGCCCAGCCGTTCTCTGACCCACATCTAAAACGGTACCTTGCAAATGCCCAGGATTTAAGCCCGCCATTTTTTCTTCCGCCATTTACAAGTATACTATACGGCTATAATCCGAGTTGCTTTCTCTCGTATAACGCGGGATATATATATATAATAAACTTCATAAAGTATATATTTTATTTAGAGATTTCTGCATCCACGCACGTAATTTCGGTCACCGGTATGCTATTTAATCGTACATACACATGGACTCATGGAGTATGTTGAATAATATGTTGGGATGCAGCTGTAGACTGTGTGGGCATAATGAGTATGAATCTCCGCCACGTTCCACGATCTGTTCGCGTTTCCTGACTAAACCATTGAAAATACGAGTAGGAATATATGTTTTCTGGTGATTTCCCTGGCGTGTTTGTTTTCGTTGACAGCTGTATGTTTGTCCGTGAAACCTTGTCAGCTGAACTGGGCAACCGTAAATCAAGTAGAAATTACAATTAAGCGCCATGCTACTAATGACCGCGACTGTCATGTAGTATAATGATGAAGTCGCGTGTCAGGGGCTATCCTTCACGCCGTATGCACGCTAGCAGTATCCCTGGTAGGGATTCTAAAACCACACATGCCCGATAACTGTATATCTGCCCTATGAGTTTACGCGTAGGATCAACCTAGCCCCAGCCAGCTGAACGTTATTTCGAAATATCGAGGAAAGTTCATATACTTTTCTGTGCATTTTACGTTCTAATTATCGCGCACCAAAAACACTGCCACAAACTTCCAACGCTCCGTATTAATAATATTGACGTGTTTATTCTTGTTTTTATTGCTCTGCATGTTCTATTCCTTGTTTATCTATGATGAAGGCATGGACTAGCTGTGCATTACATCAGGTTGTCACACGAACCAGTGACTGTTGCGAAATAATGCGGATGCTTTGACATGTTTAGTACTGATCGGCGTAACTTTGACCAGTTCAACACAGTTTTAGCACACATATATAGTGCGCTGCTAATGTTCTATTGCATTTTATAACAATTAATGGTTTCCTTTGTATACTGATGTGTAGCTAAGATTCAGTTCAATTAAGGGATTATTCATGCGCTGCTCTACAGGTGTAATATTTGTAATTTTCTTATCTATTATCAGGAGTAGATAATAGGGAATTATCCCCCCATAGGGAGTTCCCTATTATCTATAATCTATTATCTATTATTCCTATTATCTATAATAGGGAGTTCCCTATTATCTATTCCTGCTATTCTGTATCTTGTATTCCCGTAAATCTATTAAAATACGGCCATCCTATACCCTGCTTCGTAGCATCGGTTTATTGAGATATGTGAGTAGTCATGGCGATAGGAAGCTTTTACTAGGCCTGGCCTGCATGTTTCGACTACCAGATGTTTGCACATACTAGCATATACATATATATGTGGAGCACATGAATAAAGTTTGCATTCTAAAAGCGAAGAGAAACCCGAGAGTTGCGCTGCGGGAGTACATGCACGTATAGTATGGTAGCAGCAAGAATGAACTCTTGTTCGCGGTATCAATTCTATAAGTGTACACGAAAAGAAATGCCTCCCCCATTGAAATATAGCTGTAGTGCTCCGTCGATCTCTCTCCGTCGATTTTTCTCCGTCGATCTCTCTCCGTCGATCTCTCTCCGTCGATCTCTCTCCGTCGATTCTCTCTCGTCGATCTCTCTTCCGTCAGAATCTCTCCTCGTCGATCTCTCTCCGTCGATCTCTCTCGGGGGTTCTCTTCTAACCTTGGCATCTCTTCCGTCCGATCTCTCTCCGTCAAAGATTCTCTTCTCCGTCGATCTACTCTCCGGCGCCGTCAATCTCTCTCCGTCGATCTCTCTCCATCGATCTCTCTCCGTGGTTCTTCCCTCCGGTCGAATCGTCTCTCCGTCGGTCTCTCCGATCGGATCTCTTCTTCCGTCGACTCTCTCTCCGTCGATCTCTCTCCCGTCGATCTTCTCTCTGTGGACCTCTTCTCCGTCGCATCCTCTCCGTAAAAACGATCTCTCTCCGTCGATCTCTCTCCGTCGATACTCTCTCCGTCGATCTCTTTTCCGCGTCAATACTACATCCTATAGATCTATATCTCCGTAACTCTCTACTCCGTCGTCACTCCTACGCATCGATTCTCTCTCCGATCGATCTTTCTCCGTCGATTCTCTCTCATGCGATCTCTCTCCGCTCCATCATATATCCGTCGCCCCATCTCTCCTCCCTCCCTCTGGACTATACGCCCAGTGGATCTGCTTCGTGGATCTCTCTCCGTCAATCTCTTCTCTGTCGATCTCTTTCCGTCGATCTCTCTCCGTGGCTTCTCTTTCCGTCGATCTACCCTCTCGTCGATCTCTCTCGACGATGCTCTCTCCTCGACTCTCTCTCCGTTGATCTCCTCTCACGTCGATCTCTCTCCGGTCGATCTCTCTCCGTCGATTCTTCTCTCCCCCATCGCATCTCTCCTCCGTCGATCTCTCTCCGCTCGATCTCTCTCCGTCGATCTCTCTCCGTCGATCCTTTTTCCGTCGATCTCTCTCCGTACGATCTCTTCAGTGATCTCTCTCCGTCGATCTCTCTTCGTCGATCTCTCTCCGTCGATCTCTCTCCGTCGCATCTCTCTCCGTCGCATCTCTCTCAGCGGCATCTCTTTCCGTCAGATCCTCTCTCCAGTCGATCTTTCCCCCCGTCGATCTCTCTCTGTGGCTTCGCTTCTCCATCCGATCTCTTTCCGTCGATCTCTCTCCGTCGATCTCTCTCCGTCGATACTTCTCTCCGTCGATTTCTCTCAGGGATCTCTCTCGTCGATCTCTCTCCGTCGATCTCGCTCCGGACAGATCTCTCTGCCGTCGAGCTCTCGCCGCTCGATCTCTCTCCGTCGCATCTCTCTCCGATCCGATCTCTCTCCGTCGATCTCTCTCCGTCGATCTCTCTCCGTCGATCTCTCTCCGTCGATCTCTCTCCGTCGATCTCTCTCCGTCGATCTCTCTTCGTCGATCTCTCTCCGTCGATCTCTCTTCGTCGATCTCTCTCAGTGGATCTCTCTCCGTGGATCTCTCTCCGTCCGAGTCCGTCGATCTCTCTCCTGCTTTCCCGCCGTTCCGCTGCAGCAGACGAGTAACCCGCTCATGGTAACCTAATCTGATCAGTCCCCTAACTGCGTTGTTGTTGTTGACCAAGCGATCAAGAGATGCTCTCCGCGCCTGCGATGTACAGGCTGCAAAAGTTATTCTTACCGCATCGCCTGCATCTGGGAAATACGTGCATGCTGTTAAATATTGCTACCAGTAGCCGCGGCTATATAATGGTAATATTTTAGCGATAAAACTTCCCACCACTTCAGGGAGCACAATTAATTTGAATGAAATGTAATAATTGAGTTATTGATAGTATTCGTGCGACATACCTAATATTTGCTATGTTCTTTATATGATGACTAATTATTAACGACACGTCCCCAATGATTCACTCGATCCTGTTCAAGAGATTTTCGTTATTTTGTTGTCACAATGATTAAGACTTTTGGCAATGATTGTAGACATACAACTACACTAAATGGATTTCGGAAACTCATCTTTGCCATCTTCGTGGGGAGGCTACGCGTGCAAGCTAGAATGTGTGCTAGGGTGACTCCAATATTACACGCAGCTGTGTGCGGAGCCTGGTGAATAAAATTCTAATTATAGCCACACGCTAACAACTCATCCTGTAAAACTGCCAGCACATGTGCATAGGGGTCTTCAGCATTGCTGCCCGGTCCAAGGCCGGCGTGGATACATTCCAGAAGCTAGCATCTCTGGGAAGCCCACGCCTTCAATATTTGCAGCTGTCCGCACACACGCACTCACGCGCACGCGCGCACGCACACACCCGCACGCAGGAGCGCACACATACGCACGCACGAGCGCACACACCCGCACGCAGGAGCGCACACATACGCACGCACGAGCGCACACATACGCACGCATGAGCGCACACATACGCACGCACGAGCGCACACAT